TGCTCTGTTCTTCTGAGATACAGATATGTCGTATCTCCAATTGTGTGCTGTCCTTGTACAGCCAATAAACCAGGATTATAAGTTGTAAACTGGTGGTGACTGACCAAAAAAGAGATCCTGGGGATGTGGTGGACAACTCAATGAAAATGTCGACTGTGTCAGGAATAATTAGGAAAGGAATTGATACTAAAACTGCCAATATCATACTGATTATGGTTCTTTGGTCTGATCCAACATGGCTTGTCTTATGTTCTTATGGAAATCTACTGGACGTCTTCACACTTGAAACAGCAACACTCCATATAAAAATGCATTCAAATTATCACAAAACTAATTGGGATTTATGGCATATAATTGCCTAGGATGACAGATTTTTTTCTAACTTCAAGGCCTTGACTGAACCTGCAGGAAATCAGGGTTGTCTGTCACTGAATTCATAAATATGGGGATTGTTACTTAGCAAAAAGAAAACAGTGGAATTCTCTCCAAGAACTTTCCTAAGAAACAAGCTATTTTGGGTAACATGGGAGGGAAACTCAAGCTGCCTTTGCTCAGCAAATCACTATTCCCAAAGAGCTAATTTCAGAATTATACCCAGCTTTTGTATAACTAATATCATTTGGCATGAGGTAATTTATGGAATGAAACAATGTTCCTGACAAGTATCCCAATCAATTTTCTGCAAGTCTCACAGGCTTCAGAAGGCACAACCCCTTAAACAGTTTATCTGCATTTTTCTTCATCCCATGGAGATAGTCCTTGAAACACAATTGCCCAATTGTTTTTTTAAAAGCAGTACAAAGAAAGATTGACATAAGTAGAAATAAAACCACAGCTTGTTACTCTAAAAGCAGATTCCCAGCACTTTCCAGTTTTTTTCAATAGTGACAAAACCTTTTCTAAGTCCAAAAAACAGCCAGAAACCACTGCAATGCCTAAGAGCAAGAGAAGAAAAGGGTGACCTCTGAACCAACACACATTTTCTGAAAGCAACTCTTGATAGAAATACTTCAGCAGCAATGAGAGAAATGTGCTCAATCCTGAAGGCAATTACATTCTTGAATTTCATTACCTCCCCTGGTACTATTAGACTTTTTGGAAATCAGTCAACTTCATGGTCATAACAAGTCCTTCGGTAATTTTTCACAGCCTCACGAATATTGTTGAACAGGAAAACTGTTCCAAGAATTATCTGTCTTACTTGGATGAATGACACTTGGCTACAACATTTCCAAACCCTGTTCCAAAACATTGTCAATAATTCTGTGAATCCACATGTAAACAGCAAATAGCACTGCTTTCAGCATAAAAACTTGACTTCTTGTGTGGAAAGGCTTACAAAAGAAAACTGTATTCATAAGCCAGTGAAACCGAGGAGCTGAATCTCCTGGCATGTAGAAAAGCTATAAGCAGGAAGTAAAAGAAAAGATTTCTCTTGAATACACAGCATTATAAACTGCAAATCCATCTGAGCCTGGAAATAAGCCAATTCTAAAGAGTCTTTAGTGACTCTTCAGTCTGAGTAGTATTTTGGGAGATCTGTTATTATTAATTCAAGACTAGGCTCGCTTTTCTCTGCCTATCTACAGTTCCAATCTCCAATTATATTGACAGAAATAATGAAATACATTTGGCTATTATTTATTATTTTAATACATACTAGATGCTATGCACTATTTTAAAACCGAACACAGAGGCTCTGCCCACAGGCTTATAGTCCAATTTGAATTGTTTCCTCTTCCCAAAAACTTGCTAGACATTCTTAACAATCTAGTCCCGTTACATTATGTAGCAGGGCTGGCACTTGAGAAGTGAATATGCACAGTTGTAACTTCACTGGAGATTTTAATTGGTTCAGTTCTGACTTCATTTTCCGATAAAGCAAAATTAACTTTTTTAAAAGGCTTCTTCATACCTACAGATGAAAATAATTTTGGTCTATTGTGAAAGCTCATTCTGTTATATTGGTGGCTTTCAACATGCAAAATAAATCTCACAGAGCAATTCAATAGCCCCTAGATGATGTCATTCCCAGATACACCTCAGAAGGAACCACACGTACTGCTTCTCCAAGGTTGTAACAGTAACCTCAGAAAAGGAGTGAAGAGAGTATTCCAGGGCAGGGAAAGGAAAAGGCTGGGACTGGCAGAATACCGTGTATGTCTCCAAAGCATACATTCAAAGTGTCAGTCCTAGATGACTGAAATTAGCAATTTACCTGACTAGCAGGGTAGGAGGAGCAGGGAGCAGAGATTTCCTCCATACTACTCCTGTCCTGCGTAGGATGTCTGAAATCCCCTAGCTTCAGGATTTTATAGGCTGTCCTACCGGATTGTGTCCAAAGAAGATATACACAAAATCACAACTACAAGGTCTGTTTTGATCTGGAGTGGGTATCTCCAGGATGTCGGGGTTCAGGGCCAGGATGTGGACAGCCAGAGACAAGGAAGAGATACCAGGACCACAGCTACAGCATTTGAGGCAGGACAAGAGCCCAAAGTCCAAACGTAAGGTTTAATGGCAACTCCAACTCATAGTCATGGAGCAGGCTGAGGTCAACCTGGAAGACAAACAGAGGTGCAAGAACTCTGAGGCAGAATAGCTGAGCCACATACATGGTAAAGCAGGATACAGGCACAACAGCAAACAGAAACAGCTGTGGTGCTGAGGCAACACAGTGAAGCAGGATGCATGGCAAGAGGCAGGCACCGCAGCAAACAGAGGGACCTGTGATGGTAAGGCAACACGGCACAGCAGGATACGGGGCGGGAGCAGGCAGGCAAGGGGCAGGCACGTCTACTAACAGGAAGACCTGCATCGTTGAGGTCAATCCAGGAGGGAAGAGCTTGTTCTTATACAGCTCTTCCCCAGAACCCCAGCTGGCACTCATCAGTAGACTGAGAGCTACAGTGGGGTCTGGGACGGATCCTGCAAATACAGTGGAGGTTGTTCTTGTTCTGGGCACCAGAGAAGCCCACAAAGGGGCTACAACTGTACTCCCCAGGAACCCAACAGGGGATGCACTCCACCCACATTGCTAAAGCTGGTGCTGTTTGGCAGCAAATTAGCCATCTAAAATACACACATAATTCCAGTAAGGAGCAAATTTGTTCACGGATAGCACCTACACGGCTATCTCTGCTGAATATTCTTAAGCATCGTGCATCCTCTTCCCATCTCAGCCCAAGAAGTTTAACATTTCTATCTACAAGGGGAAACACAGAGGCAAGGATGTGTAAAGCTGAGGGGAAAGAGTAAAGATCACAAACGCATTCTTAGTATTGGAGGCAGTAGAACAACAATGAAACGTGAAATACTGCAAAAGATTTGTCCAAAAGGTTGCAATCATCATGGTAAGGCCAGGAGGACATTTCTGAGATACACGTATTAGTTCTGAAAGAACCAAAGGCCATGCCAAGTCTAAAGAGAGTAGCAGCAGCAACAGTGTCTGATACAGATTGTGTCTACACAAGAAAAGTAAACAGGTCTCAAGAACTGAATATAGGAGGGAATTTGCACTAGATTGGAGAGGCTAAATTTTACTCATTAAACAAAATGCAAAAACTGCATATGTCAACCCACAAACAGGAAAAGAAGCAAGGAATTAAAACAAAACATCAGTAAAGAAACTGAACGGACATATGAAGAATGCTCAGCAATTTCTTCAAATGGGACAGAGAGGAAGCTAGCCAAATTTCTAAGAGTGTGTTCCACACCTGCATAGCTCTAATGGCCCTTGGGAATCAATAATGTATGGATGAGCTGACCCGCTGCCTCTGCAGTCCACTCCTAGGCTCTGCCCTTCAGGAAAGACACTTAGGGCACTCAGGCGTTAGCTTTTCTTCCATACATGAGAGAAGACCAGCTCCTGGGGAGTTACATAGCCAGGCTGACTCAGCTCAGAGCAAAAAAAGAGGCCCACCCAGGCCTCCAAAAAAGAAAAGAGAAAGACACACTTATAGGCACGCTACACACATACATCTCACAGTAGCAAGAGAAAATATGTTTTGGCACCTAAGTGACATCCTGGTGGCACCCTTCCCACAATGACAAGGTTGATTAATTTCAACAAGTGTTTGCAGAACCATCATGGAACCTCCGTGTGCATCGTGATGGCATTCCAGAGTTTCATCAGCAAACACCGAATGCTGAAATTTAACACTGCAGGTACACACCAGAAGTGCTTGGTGTGACATACTTTTTTGTTTTTCTGCAATGCAATCTTTCAGGCCCAATGCAGACAGAACGCTATTTAACAGTGCTACCCTGCACATGTCTACTCAGAAGTACGTCAAACTAATTTCAATGGTACTTGCTTCCAGGCAAGTCAATACAGGATTTCAGCCTAAGAGACAAGGACCATCCCTGTATTTCGCTTACCCACTTGAATTCCCTAACCTTCTCCCTGTCAGCATTGCCTTTGGTTAATATGCTGCCATTGCAATTCCACATGATGGAATTCTAACTCTACATTTCATTTTTCTTTCACTTTGCTTTGCATCTCTGCTAAGAATCACCAATACATACCAGCTGTAAATATTGCCAGGTTGCAAATACTGACCATTATACAAGTGGGACCTGCAGGAGAATATTCAGTGGGGACATTCCAGCTCAGTGTTCCAGCTAGTCTTATCTTCTTCCAGGTAACCCACTCCATCACCCTACCTCAGTTCCCACTGGGTTGTTGGGAGGGAGGGGGTCCTTTTCTCTAAGATTTTTTGGAATTCCTTTGTTCTGAATTCCTTGGAAGTTCCCCCGATCCTGCTGAGGGTGATCAACTCATAGATAGGTGGGGCTGTTTCAGTTATGCAAAGATTGCCATATATAACTGGATATTGCTAATAGAGAAGATGGTGATGATGATCGATAGAAAAATGTATTTCCCAGATTTTATTTTTAATCAACCCCTGACAAATGTAATTATTTATTTTGCCCAATACTGCACAAAGTTCAATTTTAAAATAACGTTTCACACATGAAAAAAGCAAACATAGTTTTACCTCGCCATGCCTTAAAGGAGTAATCTTTCCTCTCGACACTCCCATGCGAAACAGAGTTTCTGTGGCCTGTAGGTTAAAAAAAAAGTTATTTCAAAAGGCAGTTGAATTTGGTAACCTCTTTTCATCCTTATTTTCACCCATGAGACAGGCTATACTTTGGTTGCAGTCCTACACACTTTCAAGGGGTAAGTTCCACCAAATGTAATGGGATGACTTTCAGGTAAACACAGAACTGTTATTTCTATGAAATATTTTTGCAACCAAGTCCTTAAATAAGAATAGTTAGGTAACATGCAAAATGAGAGGAAGGAAATGACACTCCAAACTGACATTCACAAAATCCAGATTCTTAAAAAATAGTATTTATTATAGTAAAAGTGTATGCCTGTGCTTTAAAATGAATTAAAAGGATCTGTCTTCTGTAAAGCTCAGTACAACAGCTTTTATGTAAAACTATTTAAAGCAAGTATGTGCGCCTTTCCAAAAATAATCACTGACAGAAAGCAACATGGACTTTGCATAATTCACTTTCCTCAAGACGACTTACATCATGGAATGCTTTAAACGATAAAACAAGATAGAGGAAGAGGAAACTAGTTGGACAAAGTGCTTTCTGGTTTTATCAGTGTGAACTCAGAAACATTGAATTTGGTTAGAGATATAAAGACTCATCCTGCTATAAAAGAAGTTCAATGGATTTATCATTTCAAAAAGAGAGCGAAAGAGGTACATGACATCATTTTAGAACACACACTATTCCTTGAAAATAATTTTCTTTTAAAAGCCTACCTAGAGTGTGTGCTTGCAGGCATATACACAACACTGTTCTCTCCCCCTCCCATGATTCAGGAGGTCTATAAGCATTTTTCTTTGTACTTTTGTTGTCAAAGAATGCCACCGCCTACCCAGAACTTCAATTTATTAGCTCATTTACACCCACAAGAAGTCCATAGCTACTCCAAGACCTAATTCTTCTCCAACCTCTTGAAGATTAAAGGGCTGAGAACCTCATACAACCTTTTGTGTTCTTCAGAATTGATTTCTTTCATCATTTCTTTCCACCAACATTTTAAGGATGTTTCAGCCAAATAGAGCATTCTGTCAATACAGCTAAGCTCCTTTTGTTTCTATTGAGAGCCAGTGGTGTGTGTGACTTTCGTTCTTTCCCTACTGATAGGAGATCTTCTTTAATATACTTGTACTCAGTTAAAATCAATTGTTCAAGATTCTTGCGGGTGGAGGGGAGAGAGACTTTCACGGCACTTGTGAATCTGGGACCATAGAGTCCTTGATAGGATCACTACTCATCTGTGCTGAGTTCTAAGAAGATCAAAATTATGCCCCATGTTTTCTCCTAAATGAGAATTTTAGGGTGGAGAAAGAGACCAATATGAACAAAGCTGCCCATTATAAGGTTGAGTTTTTATTAATGCACACAGAGGAAATTTACTATTTAAGCCACCGTAAACTGGTCGAGAAGGGAGAAATGCGAATGGGAAATTTAAAGAGATTGCATTACCATAAAACCCTCACAGAAGTAGGAAAAGTATTGTAAGAGTGAACACAGTTTGGTCTAAAGGCTTTTATTATAAAATTAAATGGAAATGAAATTTGAACAGGGGAGATATTAAGATTTATTGACTCTCTTGAATAACCTGGATAAATTCTGTTATAAATGTACACAACATTTCCTTTGAAAATGGATCAGATCAAAGACCTATCTAGTCCAGCCATCTGTTCCCACAGTGGCCAACCATGGGGGAATAAAATGGGAAACCAGTACAGGTTATGAACTCATCCTTCCTCTTCGTGTGCCCCAGCAACCAGCATACAAAGGCATACTGCCTCTGGTACCCTGCCTGACTAGTTTATCTAATTTATCTCAAAAAGATGTCTATGTTGGTATTACAATTACACCTTGTGGTAGTGAATTTCATACTTAACAGTGTCCTGTGTGAAGTACCTTTTGACCCACAACTCAAAATGCTGCTGTCATGTCACATTTTCAAGTATTAGTGCTCCATTCTTCCTGTTGTTCATCCTGTAGGAATGACAGGAGCTTCTAGGCCTCATTTCCGGCTACCTAGCTCATGCTGTGAGCTATAGGATCGCTTCCTTTCTGTTGGGGGCATGGTAGGAATTGTAGGCTTTTTTTTCTGCCTCAACTTGCCTATGATTGCACCTTAAATCTATTGAGGATTTAAAGTTTAAATTTTTTAAAGATGAGGGGTCAGGGTTCCCACCCCCCACACCAGGCAATACATGTTTTCTATTTCGAACCATAGACAGTATTGATGAACTGGCATTCATGGTCAAAGGGGTACCCATGACTGTGACTGTGTACCAAATTTGCTCAGCCATACCAAGCTGTCAGATGGAACATTCTGAGCCTTGAATGTTTTACTGGTGCCTGAACGGAAAGGCTGGGCTCAGAAGCACCTTTCTTACCCTAAGCTTGCTGCAGCTGCCACGCTCTTCCTCCTGTCTTCCCAGCTGGTCCCACTAGAATCACAACAGCGGAGTCTTCAGTTCTTGCTGCACCCTATTTTTATTGGGGGTGGTGGTGCTTGCATCTTAAATATGAGCGATTTGAACTAAACTACTGCCATCGAAGGCCTTTTGGTTCTGTGCCTTCATTGGCTATGTACCCCACAAAGGAATCCTAACTGTTACTGAAAATGCAAGTTTCAAAAAAAAAAAAAAATGCCCAGGCAAGGCCTGTGCTTGGTGGGCCAGGTGCAGTGAAGCATTGTCAAGATGGCTGGCTAGGAAATCCTGATTACACTTTGCTTGGTGTGGTGCCACTTGGTCTTGAACTTTATAGCCTCTCTCCTATTGCTTTAGACCCTTAGACGAAGGGATCCCATGAACTACATTAGTATCAGTTCCAGTAATTCTTCAAACAGCTTTCCATCCTTGAGGGGGATGATGAGTAGTCTAACTTGGGACCCACATCTAGCTCCCAGTTTCTAAGCCAGCCGTTGAACCTCCCTGGAACTTTGGTGGCCATTGCCTAGTAGGCTGCTTCTAGCTGAACCGCAAGCACAAATTCCTCATGCCGCTGGAGGTCTCAGAGAGCCTTCCCACTCTTTAACTCCCCTCCACCAGCATTTAGCCCAGCAGAGGCCCTTCTCTGCTACTAACTCAAGTATGTCACCAGGAGAATAGAGTGAGCCCAAGAAGACTGACTACCTGGATGAAGACATTACATGGACCAGAATTAGGACTCACTCAGCCGGCTCTTGTGAAGTCATCCTGAAACCCAGCTGTTCCACTGCCAAGCAGAGCCAATCTGAAGGAATGTTGACTTAACCTGAAGTATCTGGAGCTGGTAGCAATCACCCGCCCAAGGGCCTTGCCCAGGAAATGAATACTTGCCACTGGCCTAAAAGCATTAAGAGTTTCTGGGTCTATTTATCTATCTATTTGGATATTTTTATCCCATCCAATACCAATCATCTCCAGATGGCTTACAATATGATAAATACCTAATAAGTACATCAGTCAATAACAAGGTAAAATAACAAGTTAAAATGTAAAAGATAAAATTATATCAATAAAACAAAATTAAAATATTAAAACTTTTAAAAATTGGGTAAATAAAAAGGCCTTAACCTGGTGCCAAAAAGCATATAACATCTATGAAGGATTCCTTCAAAGGTGGTCTCATCACAGTCCCTTTCAGACAAGAAAGGGAGCCATATCAGGCAGAAACCTCCCCCAGAGTCCTTCGGAAACTATCTGGATCCATTAGTTTCTGGGGAAGATAATCTTCATAGTTTCCCACACTCTTGCAGAGAGGAAAAGCTGCCCTAAGGCTAAGCTGCAGCAACTAATGATCTGATCATGACAAAGGGACTGCATCATCTCCATATCTAGTTCAGAAAACCAAATCTAGAGTAGGATCCCACTACACGAGTTTGGCCTATGACAAGTTGGGACAGTTCCACAGCTGTCATGTGGATCATGAAACGCTGAGCAACCCAACCAAGGTGCTTTCAGTAAAAATGTTCACTCTGAATCAACACTCTGGGGGATCTCAACAGCATACTCAAAACCTCTTCTGTCAGCTCAGATAGGGAGACCACTGAGCAGCAGGATGGTTGATACACCAACAGAAGCTCCAATGCATCCTGCTGGCACAATAAAAGGTGAAAATACTCCAGACCAGTAGACAGCTGAACATGAAGCCTGAAAAGAGAGACGGAATTCTTACAGATCACTGCAACTGCTCCTTCTCCACCTTCCAATCTCTACCCAGATGCTGAACCAAATATCCCAGCAGACACAGCCGGGAGTGCTCCTCCCTGCATAGCCATCTAATTCCTAACTGCTCAGCCATCAGGGTCTTGGTTATATATGCCAGATTGGCCACCTCATACCCTATTTAGTCATGAATGAGGGAGGTCTTATTTTGAGCTTTTCTAGCACTTAACAGCAATATATAGCAATAGACTCTAGGGCAGGCAGGCAGGACAACCACCAAACCTGCAGCTGAAGTGAGGGCCAAACATGGTACAGCCATTCACTATCTAGGCCATGCACCTCTAACCTGCCTAGTCCTCCTCTCAATTCCGTATTTCCCTTGTCCTGTAACCAGATTGAAGTTCCTTCACTTGGCACATGACCAGATTCTAAGAGGAAAAAACCAACCCCAACTCATACGACTGTCATAAAAACCAGTCAACCTGATTTAAGGGGTGATACCCTTCAGCATTGCCACTGCTCTGCATCAAACCCTGGCAGGTAACCAAAACAGCTGGTTCAGGCTGGCAATCAGCCTGGAGGAGTATTTTTCTTCGGTACCGGCTCTGCTAGCTATCATGGTCACCAGAAAGTATCAAGAAGCAGTCAAAAAAACAGCCAAAGGGCAGGGCCTGAACTCCGAAACTAATGTGCAGGTTGGAACTTAGTTATCCATAGGTTTTGGCAGTTCATGAACATACTGACACACTTCTCAAATCAAACATGTATCAAAATACTTCCAAAACCACGTATTTGGCAGAAAAGATATGCATATTTAAAAGCATTTTTTGTGAGTGTGGGTGTGATTACAGGACTTTGCG